TAATAATTTTTATTTTATTTTCTTAATTAATACTTTTAATTGATTATAAATGTTTGTAGCCTTGTAGTAAATTAAATCTTTTAAAAATGCTGCTCATCAAAGATATATTTAGTGTTATGAAAAAATGACGACAATAAAATGAAAATCTAATCAAGAAAAATTCACAAAATAGGAACACAATGAAAACACACAGATTTACGTGATTCGGCAAATTGACTACGTCTACGGAAATGCAGAGGATTTTATTAGCTTTGAGAAATTACACCGTCGAGCACCTCGACTAGGGGTATAAACGAGCCGAACACGAGCGAGCCCAGGCTCAGCTCGTGAGCTCATTTATATTTCAAGCACAAAAAGTGTGTTCGTGTTCGGCTCGTTTGCTTAGCGAGCCGTTCACGAACAAAGAGTCATTCTAATAACCCTAATCACGTAGTCCTAAGATGTTAAAGATTGGGGCAAGATTTAAAACATTATTTCAATCTAATTTAATAATTTTTATTTTATTTTCTTAATTAATACTTTTAATTGATTATAAATGTTTGTAGCCTTGTAGTAAATTAAATCTTTTAAAAATGCTGCTCATCAAAGATCTACACACACACACACACACAGATATATATATATATATATATATATATAATTGATTAGTAGTATTTCGAGCCAAAACGAGCGAGCACGAACGAACAAATATTGGTTCGTGTTGTTTGTGTTCGGCTTGTTAACTTAGCGAACGAGCCGAACACGAGCTTCTTAACGAGCCGAACAGGAGTTGTTCGCTAACAACGAGCCGTTTTGACAGCCCAAGTCTCGACGTTTACAAGAAAGACTTTCTCTCTCTCTCCTCTCTTATCATTCTCTCTCTACATTGTTCCTCTCTCTCTCTAACAAAGCCACACAGGAAGAAGGAAATTCAAGAGAAAGCAAGCTTCCTTTTTTTTTTTGTCCTGTAAGCAAACGAAGCTAAGGAAGTTTTGGAGAGCTGTGTTTTTGTTTTGCGAATTTTTCTCGATCCGATTTTTTACTTTATTACCGTCGTTTTTTCACAACAACTGATATCAGAGCTTTGGTTCAAGATTGAAAGAAAGCAATGGGCGGAGACGCCGTGATGACATCGAGGATCGAGAAGTTCAATGGCAAAAATTTTGGTTACTGGAGGATGCAGATATAAGACTACTCTATGGGAAAAAACTTCATCTTCCATTACAAGGAAAGCGACAGGAGAAGATGAACCAGGAGGAATGAAATTTGTTGGATCGACAAGTTATACAGGTTATTCGATTAACCCTGTAAAAGTATGTTGCCAACAACGTCATCAATGAGAGAATTACTGCATATCTCATGGTGGTTTTATCTGATATGCAAGAAAAATAATCAGCGAATAACACGATGCATCTGATGAAGAAATTATTCAATTTGAAGATGGTGGAATGTACATCTTTTGCACAACATATAAATGATTTCAACAATATCACAAATCAATTGCTATTAGTTGAAATTTATTTTGATGATGCGATACGTGCGCTGATACTGTTGGTTTCATTGTCAAATAGCTAGGAAGTCATGAAGATAACGGTTAACAGTTCTACAGGTCAATCTAAACTGAAATATGATGATAACACATAATTACACAATTGCAAGTTGTTATTCGCCTGGCATGCAAAAGGCAAGCATGCTACATCTAGGAATAACTGCGTCAGGTTCAGGCTAGAAAAGCTGGTATCTTCCATGGCTCTCTATGCCTTGTCCGCCAACTTCCTCCTCCCCACCAACCCCCCTTCTCTTCTTCCTCCCACCTCCACGCCAACCTTCAAAATCTCTACCACCAATTTCTCATTCAAAAACTGATCGGGAAACTTTGATTCTTACATATAGACCATTTTACCCCTAATTTCCCTTTAAAAAAAGTAAAATAGTGTATTTTTTATGTGATTTGAAAGATTGGGTGGCCTAAATGTAATAAGCAAAATTTATACGTTAGATATATATAAATACATAAGAGTTGGGTGGTATGTACGTAATAGGGGATTTACATATATAATTTATCTATTTCATATTTAAATTTTTTTTTATTTACACATACAACATTTAAAACATCACAATAAAATAAAAAAATAGAAAAATTTACGTACATAGCACACAATTGTTATTATTTGCATGTCCCATACTTAAATTTTCATATTTAAGTACATAACATTTAGGTGCTTCATATTTTAATTTTAAAAAGTAATGATGATACTATTTTTGATATGAAGTTAAAGATTCGAGTGATGTGTGTGTAAATATGAAAATTTATGTGTGACATATAAATATATATAAGAATTTTATGCTATCCATGTAAATGCCAGTAATAAATAACAGCTATCCAAACTCTTTTTCCTTATTTTAAATCCATATCACTCAACTCTTACATATTTATATATCTAACACCTAAGATTTTATTTTTGCATACATATATCATCTTGCCTATCCATGATAAGATATATTTTACTTATAAAAGTTAACATTGAAGTACTTTTGATGTGATAGGAGATATTTTGGTGGTAAACATATAAAAAATTAAATTTTAGGTGCATGTGTGTAAATACATAAGAACTGGGATGTATGGGAATAACCCTAAATTTTATTTAAAAATTCATAATCATTCAATGATGAAATAAAAAATTATAGCGACAATCATTCAATGATGGCAAAGCCCATGAAAAAATTGATAGCAACAGTCGCATTTTCCATCGCCACCCGATTATAATTTTCTCTTTAAATTGAAATATAAATCTAATTGACGACCCAAAAAAAAAAATCTAATAAAAATATTCTATCATTAATTAATTTTGCACTCAGAATTTGAGATTAATTTATCATCAATCTCCATTATCAGAGAAATATTCATGTACGTCGCAGAGTTGTGTACATATTAGGTTATTAGAAGGTTACACTTAAGTTATACACCTTGTACTGCTTCTTATAACTTAAGTGTAACCTTTATATACATACAACTCTGCATAGGTACTCGAATATTTCTCCCATTATTGACAAATAACTCACACAATCACAAAAAAATTAATATATCTCGCTCTAAGAAAAACAATTCAGAGTCACTTGCACTACTACTTCTGGTTCTCCAACACATAATTAATTACATCCTGCAATCCCTTCCATGAAGATCCACCTTCCTCCATGGCCATCCTCCCCATCTTCCCAAGCTCCCTCGCCCTCTTCCTCCTCTCTTCCCCTTCCTCTCCTCCCCCCATCAACATCTCCACAACCCTCTCGACCTCTCCTTTCCTCACCACCACCTCCTCACCATTCTCTGCACCCAACATCTTCGGCTCCGCAACGCCAACCGCCACCCCAACCTTGAGCACCTCCACCACCAATCTCTCGTTCAAAAACTGGTCATAGCAGTGCGGCCAAGTGGCCATCACCACCCACAATGTGTCACGAATCCACCCACCGCCACGTGTCCCAATATCACCGCCTGCGGCGCCCACCCCCTTATCACCAATCCCCTCCCCTGCACCCTCTGCTCCAACTCTGCAATCCACTCTTCCACCCCCGGGATCTTCCTCTCTGCAACTTCCTTCAGCACCCATATAAAAGGTCGGCCCGACGCCTCTATCCCGTGGCCGAGCTCCACCAGTTGGGCCATCGTGTTGCGAATCATACTTCCAAAGCTCACAAGCACCACTGATCCGGCCGCTTGCTTGTCCAGCCATTGGAATAGGAGCTTGTTGTCGATAGATGAAGCTTTCCCGCGAGCCGCCTTGGTTTCAAGCTCTTCTTTATAGAGTGAAAGCGGCCCGACGGGCCACACTGGCTTGCCCTTCGTCTTGCTATATGTCTCGAAGTACCAGGGCTCCAGCTCCATGAAACTATTTACAATCACACCGTCGGCGGATTCTTCTGCTGCCCGAATGGTATCCATGTATTTGGAAAAGCTAGGATCCGAGCTCAATAACGAGATCACCTCCCGCTTGCCCACTCGAATGGGATATGGGAGGCCTGGAAGCATGACGGATGCTTCCTCCATTAACGCAGACTCGAGTTTGGCTCTGTGGTGGTTGATGAGGGCATCGCAGTAGAGGAAGAAGCAGGATGGGCCATGGAATATGAGGCGGGGGATGTTGAGGGACAGGGCGAAATCGGCGGTCCAATGATGGAGGTTGTCGGAGATGAGGCATGCCGGTTTAGGCCATCCGAGCGGGTCTGGAGTGCGCAGGTGGGCTTCGAGCGGGTCTCGGAGGAGGAATAGAGCGTTCAGGAAAGGAAGGATGAGGTCGGCGGAGGGGAGGAGGTCGACGCTCTCGCAGCCGTCGGGGATGCCAATACTGGCAACTGGGAAAGGGAGTTCAACGAAGCGGATTGGGAGGGAGAGAGCGGCGGTGCGGTGGACGATGGACTGGATGCGGGCCAAGTTGACCGGGGTGGTGGCGAAGGTGACCAGAACGTTGCGGGATGCGAGGAGTCTGGCTAGGTCGGTCATGGGGATCATGTGGCCCTGTTGCATGAGGGGGACGAGAAGGAAGTGGAGACGTTTTGTGTCCGAGCTTTGGCCATCAGCTTCGGAGCTCATGGCGGGTGGCGGGGAAGACGATCTGCTTTGCTGCTAAGCACCACCAGTAATGGAACTTTAAAACTTGGAAGCCAACACGAGCTCTTTCAAAATATTTGGATGGAGGATTATGGGGTGCTTTTTACGGGAGGTTCTGATTATCTTATCAGGAATATATTTATTTAATATATATATATGGAGAATAACTTGTGTCCCAAGTAAGGATTGCCAAGGCGTGATGCCGAGTTTCTTTCTTGTCTGCCAAACAAAATGGCGGAAACGGAACACGAGCTTTGTTCTTTGGTATTTTTGTTTTATCATAAGAACAATATCGAAGGAGAATAGGGTCAAAATAGTTTGGGAATAGTTTAAAATTGAATTATTTTAGTCATTTATGTGCATTGTTGCTAATTTTAAAAAATACTAACGGATCAATAGGGCATTGACAACATATTTCTTTAAAACCCAACATTCTAGTACCAATGATAGATGAGAGAGGAAAGAAACACTGTGAGCCCGACCACTTCCAAGTGAGGGCAAATCCTGAGGTTATAGTATGACAGATAAAAGGAAGGATACCACAAAGAGAAACACAACTGTAGAATGTGTAAACACTTGAAAATGCTTGCCTAGATGCGAAGCTATCAAGCTAACAAGTTGTCAACCTTTGTCAGTCAAAGAAATAAGAGAATCAGGGAACAAAATATATTAAATGAAAAGGCTTGTCGAGCTGCCAAGCTACCAATTTATCAATCAACCAAGCCATCGAGCTAACGAGCTCCTAAGCTGACGAGTTATCGAGATGTCAAGAAGTCGAGATTTCGAGTTGTCGAACTGTCAAGCTGATGAGCTGACTAGTTCAGCTACATGGAATGAAATGACATAAGTTTTTGAACATGAATTAAAGTTGTTGGACAAAACACAAAGTTGTTGGGCATGAAATGAATTAATTGGACATGGCTTAACACTATGTATATTTCAATATTTTTATTCCATGATAAAAGGACACCACATTATTACACCCTATGTCTTAGATGGATCAACATCTTGAAAACTGCGTTGAGCATGGACTTATCCCTTAAATATGAAGTTACGCATAAATATCTTCAGACTAATAACAAAAATCACACTACAGGAATCTTCACCGGAATAGATAAGACTTCATATTCTTAAATTTTTCATTTTTACATTGTTTAAATCTACAATATCTAATTTGTTATGTATATTTTTTTTATTAGTGATTTCATTTTTTTTTTAAATCTAAGAATTTGTCCCTCAAGCAAATTTTCAGTGTAAAAAAAAAAGTTGTCCAAAACTTTTTGGCTCTACTCTACTCAATAGTCGAGTATTAGGGATGATTTCACAAAAACTCCTTTCAAAATATAACCCAATTAATGAAGTCTCATTCTAAGTAAAGTTGAAAAATTACGGCAACTCCTTGTAGTTGTAGCCAAAGTACCCCAAGACAAAGAATGATTTGAATTTATTGAAACTACTTTAATTCCCTTATAACTGAGATATATTATAAGGAAACCGTTCATCTAGTTACTAAAAAAAATGATAACGTATATCTTTTTTACTAATAATATTAGGAAAATTCTCTCTATAAGACTATTGAGTCAACTATAAAGTATATGAAGGTGAGTATAAGAGTACTAAATGGATAAATAGACAAGATAGTGAAATGTGCTACTCATTTATCTCAAAAAAGTTTTAAATCATTTCAGTGAACTCGTTTTTCACATAAGTGAGGTAGAAAATTATTTTATAGTTGCCTGTTAAAGGGATAAAGAATAAGAGTACTAACTGGATACACCAAAAAAGACTTGTTTAGGTGTCAAGTTGTAGAGATATCAAGTGTGCATGTTAAAGAATTAAAAGAATTAAAGAACTAAATTTATAAACCAGAAAAAGCTTGATGAGCTGTCGAGCTGCCAAGCTACTAAGTTGTCAAGCTGTCGAGCTGACCGGCTGAGAAGTTATCATGTTGCAATGCAATCAAGCTTGCGAGCCATTGAGCTGAAGAGTTGGCGAGCAACCGAGCTACTAAGCTACCGAGTTAACAAGGTGATGAGCTGAACTATATGAAATGACATGTTATAAAGTTGTTGGGCATGTCTTAAAACTACTAGACAATACATAAAAAGACTTGACATTACATAAAGCTAATGGCATAACTTAGCATTATGTAAGTTTTAATATTTTTATATCATGATAAAAGGACATCTCAAGGCTTTTAAATAAGGGTCAAAAAAAAAGGGAGGGGAGACAAATTCTCTCTCTCACTCTCTTTCTCTCCCTCTCGCTCTCCCTCCCTCCTCTCCCTTTTTTGATCAATGCTAGTCGGATTTGGGCATAATCCACATATGTTATGGGGCCTTATGTGCTAAATGAACTCAACATAAAGAAATTGTGTAGATCTCTACAATTGGCTTGAGTCCCTCAGTCTATTATCCCCCAGTTCCATCTTTACTGTTTGACCCCCTATTTGTCCAGAAAACTAGTAGGAATCAAGTACTAATGCCTTCTTCTATTATAAAAGGAAGGCTCATGCTATGGCATCTAGATCGTGGAGATAATTTTGCTAGTGTAAGGATGGGGAAATACAACATTAGGCGCTAGGTCACCTTTGAAAGTTAGCCTGACCATGCCCTCAAATTTTGTGTTCCCAGGTACATGCATTGGGATCAACCATCCTTATATTGAGAAATGATAGAGAGGGAGTAGGGTCTTTTAAGAGATCTACGTGAAGTCAAACTGCAAACAGCCTAAGCTACCACTGCCAAATTCATCCCCTTACCGAGCTAATTGGTGCACGTCATTAGTCATCCACTGCATCTCAATTCAACGCGATGGTTTTGCTCAAAAAGAGCTTGAGTTAGCTCAACCTGATTATCAACTAGTGACTGTTTTGTTTAGATCTAACAATCCAGTCATTTGGCCATAAGGCGGAACATGAGTCATGATTCATATAGATGTACACACTGATTTATAGAGCCAAGTACTATTTGATGAGTAAGAGTATTATACATCACCATTCATTAAAGAGAGGAAAATTTGCAAGTATATAACTAAATTTCTATGAATTTACTTATCTAATATACCTAAACTTTAATTTTTACATATCACGTTGCATATGCATGAAAAAATGTATTTAACTTTTTAAAAGATAAAATAGTGATATTTTTTTATGTGACATAAATGATTTATGTAATATAAATATAAAAAGAAAAGTTTCACTGTCATATATATATAAATAAATCGAAATTATGTGGTATGGACACAAATATCAAGTCTACATTATTTATCCACAAGAACAATCACAAATTTGTTTTCATACATAGAACCACTATAATTTTATTATTAAATTGCCTTTAAAATGATAAATTAAATAGCATTTATGTATTAAAAACAACTTTCAGTTTTTTTTTTTCTTTATATCTTAAGATGAAAAAAATATTACCTCAAAAACACTGATGCATCAGTACTCCAATGGTGAGGTGCCACATAAGCAATGGTCCCACCGTGGCGTCACGTGGCACTCTATCATTGGAGTACTAATGCATCAGTACTCCTGAGGTAATATTTTTTCCTTAAGATGAGATGTGTACACGTGTAAGCTTCGCTCTGCATTTTCTTATTACAATTTGATAAATCATAGAAAATTACATAGAAAATTCAAATGAAATTTTTCTTATCATCAATCATTTTTACATTCATCGCCAACATTTGTAATTCAGAGATACATTCGCGTAAAAAATATATATATCTCATTGTAAAAAATTAATTATAAGAAACTAAATTTAGGAATTTCAAAATGCCAAATTTTTATTTCCCTAATTTTGCTTCTTCTCCTTCTTCTCGAGGCTCTCTGAAACAAAACCGATTACATCCTGCAATCCCTTCCATGAAGACCCACCTTCCTCCACGGCCATCCTCGCCTTCTCCTTAAGCTCCCTCACTCTCTCCCTCCTCTCCTCCCCTTCCTCTCCTCCATCCATCAATTTCTCCACAGCCTCCTCAACCTGCCCCCTTTTCACCTTCACCGCCGCCTCATTACCATTCTGTGCCCCAAACATGGTCGGCTCCTGGACGCCAACCGCCACGCCAATCTTCAACACATCCACCACAAATCTCTCGTTCAAAAACTGGTCGCCGAAGTGCGGCCACGTCGCCATCACCACCCCTGCCGCCACTGCTTCCAACACAGAATTCCACCCACAGTGTGTCACGAATCCTCCCACCGCCGCGTGTTCCAAAATCACTGCTTGTGGTGCCCATCCCCTTATCACCATTCCCCTCCCCTCCAACCTTTCCTCAAACTCCCTCATCCATTCATCCAGCCCCTCCTCCGCCTCCTTCACCACCCACACAAAAGCTCGGCCTGAAGCTTCCAACCCATGGCCAACTTCCACCAACTGAGCCTTCGAGTTGCGTGCGAGGCTCCCGAAGCTAACAAGCACCACTGACCCGACCCCCTGCTTATCTAGCCATTGGAAAAGAAGCTTATTGTCAATAGATGAAACCCCCCCGCGCGTAGCCTTCGCATCCAGCTCTTCCTTATAGAGCGAGAGCGGCCCAACAGGCCAAACTGGCTTACGCGTCGCCTCACGATAACTCTCAAAGTACAGGGGTTCGAGCTCGTAGAAACTGTTGACAAGCGCACCGTCGGCTGATTCTTCTGCCGCCAGAACGATTTCCCTGTAGTTTGACCAATCGGGATCCGAGCGCCAGGCACCGATCACCTCGTGCTTGCGGACTAGAATGGAATGGGGGAGACCTGGAAGCGTTATGGGTTGGCCTGATGCTGCCTCCAGAGACGCCTCAAGTTCCGCCTTTTGTTGGTGGATGAGACGGTAACAGAGGAGAAAAAAACAGGAGGGACCGTGAAAGATTATGCGGGGGATTTCGAAGGAGCGGGCGATATCAGCGGTCCAGTGTTGAAGACTGTCGGAGATGATGCAGGAAGGCTTGGGCCATGCGGAACTGTCTGGGTTGCGCAGGTAGGCTTCGAGAGGTTCGCGGAGGAGAGATAGAGCTTTTAAGAATGGGAGGAAGAGGTCGACTGAGGGGATGAGGTCGGCATTCTCACAGCCTTCGGGGAGGCCGGCGTTGGCAACGGGGAAGTGGAGCGAAGCGAAGCGAATCGGGAGGGAGGAGAGGGCGGCGCGATCGACGATGGGTCGGATGCGGGCCAAGTTGACGGGGGTAGTGGCTAAAGTGACGAGTGTGTCGTGGGATGCGAGGAGAAGGGCGAGGTCGACCATGGGGATCATATGGCCTTGTTCCAGGAGAGGGACGAGAAGAAAGTGGAGGTGATTTTTGTTTGAGCTGCAGGTGTTGACTTCGATGCTCATTGTGGGGGGCGGCAGGGAAGGAGAGACGATGTGTTTTTGTGTTTAAAGGTGGAAATTTAGGGGAAGCTCTGAACTTTAAAGCCAGTAGGAGACGAGTTTTTTTTTTTAATTATTATTTCTTTCTTTTTCTTTATGAGATTTTATTTTGTTACATTTATAATAGTCAAAATTTTTATATCCTTTGAATTCCAATATGTCTTGAATAACATTGAGTAAATAGAATGTAAAATAGGGGAGAAAATACATATAGAAGTACCCAATAATGAAAAGTGATTTAGAAGATCTCTAACTCTTTATTCATAGATCAATCTCCTATTTATAGAGAAAGTGTGTGTAATATGCGGAATCACATTTACGCCTATATTTTAGTGGAGAAATTTTACATCCTGATAGTGTAGGTACGACTGATGACATTCATGATAATATTTATGGTATTGTGGTATAATAAATACAATCAATACTATAAAAAAAACATCATCCTCATCTTATTCGGACGTAACTCATCTGGATATAGTAATTTTTCATTTTAGTGGGGATTATATGGAGTATTATAAGTATATTACATATGTTGGTGCATAGCCTAACTTCTCTAAGTTTTGGCTAGCTAAATTGGTGAAGACTTGAAAGGTGTTGTCGGGCAGCTAAGCTAGGGCGACATTTCTGGTTAGCTAAGCTAGCGAGACCCATTAGACTGTCAGGTCCGCTAGAGACTACTGCTCAGCTAGGCTTGCTGATGTCGATTGGTTGATCTCTTAGTGGCAAAGGGATCATCAAGATTGACTTAGTTGGCTAGGTCGTGTTGATCAGTTGGTCAACTTCGGTTGTCGATCTTCGATCCTTGATAAGGAGCTCCGGTCGACATAACAAAGCTAGTTAATTGGGTAAAGGATAAATCGTCGTAATCTGATAGGTAAAAAACCTTAGACAAAGAGGTCTTGAGGGATAGTTGAGACTTGTCTTGTTGAATCTTTATGATATTCAAGAATACTGTTGAATGCCTACGATTGAATTGTAACACTCGAGGAGTTATTTTCTCCCATAGGTTAGTTTCATTGTAGGAAATGTCTTGAATCCCTTGCACTCGGCTTATGATCAAACCGCTCAAATTACAGTCGTTCGGTTGTCATAGTTAGTCTTGATTTTGATACATTCGATCTGATACTTGGACTCCCTGGGTCTCCTATCTATATGCTCTTCTTTGGCATGTCTTATCCCGTCTTGAATCACCTTGAGATTATCACAATTTTAATTTTAAAAAAAAGTGAATTACATATTTTCATTCATCGATAAAGAAGCATTAAAGTAAAAATTAAAATTTAGGTATTTGATACCTAATACATAGGAATTAATTGATATATATATATATATATAATTTTTTATGAGAATTTTGGAAAGGATGTAAATTAATAGATTGTACATTAGAAACGTGTCTATATATATATATAAATTATTCTTTTTTAATAAAAATAACGCATGCAAGAATTGGATAAGGCAATTGCTATGGAGGAAAGTTTTTAAGCTCAAAAAGCTAGTAAAACTGGTTTTTTGGAGGGTGATAGAAATTCAGCTTATTTTCATGCATGCATTAAGAAGAGAAGGAGTAATTTTATCACTTCTATATGCTGCAGTGATGGTAGTATCTTATATAATCATCATGATATTATTAATGATGGCCTTAAGTATTTTTCTGTCATCTTTAATTCTGACATGAGCACATTACAAGCCATTGATAAGTCTTTGTACGGCACGGTTCCTGATATTTTTGGTGTGCATCTTGCTAGTATTCCTAGTGCTTTCGAAATTAAGAATACTATTGATGCTATGGAAGATGGGAAAGCGATTGGGCCAGATGGGTTTACTATTTAATTCTATAAAAGAGGTTGGGAGATTATAAATCCTAAGTTGGTTAAATCCATTTAAGACTTCTTCAAAGGTGTTGAATTACCTAAATACTTTAAGTCTTCTGCTTTTATTCTAATTCCTAAGTCTAATAATGCTTCCTCTTGGGAGATGTTTAGACCTATAAGTCTTAATACTATTGTTTCCAAGATCAACTCGAAAATTTTGGTTAATAGATTGCATCTTTTCCTTCAGAAGATTATTTCTAATAATCAATCAGGATTCATGTTAGGGAGGAATATTTGTGACAATGTGTTGACTGTCCAGGAGCTTCTTATGGACTTTGATAACAAAAGTATGGGTGGTAATGTGATCTTTAAGCTTGACATTAAGAAAGCCTTTAACACTATTTGTTGGGAGTTTATCCTGGATGTTCTAAAAGCTATTGGATTTCCTACGAATTTTTGTTCTTTGATTCTTTGAATCCTGGATAACAATTTCTATTATTTGATTATAAATGGGCAGAAAAATAACTTCTTTAAAGCATCCAAAGGCATCAAACAAGGGGATCCTTTATCACCTTATTTGTTTATTATTTCTTTTGACTATCTATCTAGAAGTCTAATAATTTGTTTGAAAAGTTTCCTTCTTTAAACTATGTGCACAAGGGAAGGGTGAATATATCGCATCTCTGTTTTGCAGATGATTTAATTGTCTTTACCAATGCACATAAAAGATCTATTAAGAAGGTATGGGATTTTTTTCAGCATTTTCAGTTAGCATTTGGGCTATGCTTTAACACTTTCAAGTGCTCTTATTATTGTTCTAAATATGTCTTTGTATAGAATTGATTGTACTAAAGCTGTGCTTCCTATTCTTTATCTGGGTTTAGTGTTAGATAGAGGGCAGAAGCATATGAAGCATTGTATGCAGTTGGTTGATAAAGCGAAGCAGAAAATTTTGTCTTGGGAAAATAAGTTTCTCTCTTACTGAGGGAGAATTACGATTTTAAAGAGTATATTGTGTTCATTGCCACTTTACTCTTTACAAGTGATGAATATACCTAAAGGGATTATTGAAAAGTTAGAATTATTATTTAATAAGTTCCTATGAGATGGTTTGGGCAAGACCTCTATTCGCTGGAGAAGCTGGCATAAGCTTTGTAAACCTTGTGGAAAAGGTGGTTTGGGTTTTAGGAGTCTGCGTGACTCTATTAAAATCAATTATATGAAATTATGACATCATTTTTGTATGAAAAATTCTTTACGAACCTCATTGATGAAGGCTAAATATTGTGCTAAGGAACATCTTATATCTATCACACCTAAGAATAAAGATCTTTTATTTGGAAAGAAATGTTGAAGGTTTCTATGGAAACTGAAACATTTTTCTGCTGGGATTTGGGGAATGGTATGTGTTTTTTTTTTTTTTGTTTGATGATTGGATGGGTAATGGGAACCTTGCTGATCAGTATGGAGGGCCCTTTGATATTAACCATAAGGTTAATAGTTTTTGTTCTCAGGATAATTGGATGAAAGATAAATTGATGTAGTCTGTTAATATAAATGATGTCAACTTCATTACTTCTATTCCTATTTCTAGATATCATGATGATAGTTTGATTCTCAAGAAGAAGTTGTCTGATTCTATTTCTAAGATTTTTGCTTCTGCTATTATGTTTTCTGATGGTTTGAATCTTGAATGGGTGTGGAATTCATGGTTAAAACCATCTATATCGTTCTTTATATGGCATGTCCTACATAACCTGTTGCCTACTGACAATATTCTTAAAATGAAAGGTTTAAGACTTTCATCTCGATGCATTCTTTGTAAGGAAAAAGAGGAATCGATTAACCATTTATTTGGAAATTGTAGCTTTATTGCTGTTGTTTGGGACATGCTTAGTGAAAGACTGCTTAATTTTAGAATGGAGAATTCTTTCCATTCTATTAATGAGTTGTTTAATAGATTGAGGAATTTGGGTAAGGTATTTTTTAATATTGTTCCTTGTGTCGTCTTATGGTTCGTAATAATGCTATCTTTGCTGATGAGGTTCCCAAGGTCTGCACTACGTTGGGTCTTATTTTTAGCTACTTATTCAAAAGTTTAATTCATGTTGAGTTTAAAGAGAAATGTGTGGATATGTTAACTGGATATCTTCAACAGATGGTTTTAAATAGGAATTCTGTTAGACAGGCTTTCAGAGGGATTTGGTGCGAACCTATTGCTCCTTATTTTAAGATAAATATTGATGGTTTTGGAAGCCCAATGTGGCTAGTGTGGGTGGTGTTTGTCGTGATTTTGTTGGTTCTGTTATTTTTTTGGTTTGCTACTTTGATTGTTCCTAATTCTTCTTTAACAGCTGAAGCCGATGCTGTTGTGTTTGGTCTGATGGTGGCTACGAAGCTTGGACTGGTCAATATCATTGTTGAAGTGGATTCTCCGATTATTTGGAATTGTTGCGTATAATAGGGAGGCACATTGGATTATCTTGCTTCAGGTGAGGAGAATTCACGCTTCAACAGTAAATTTGAATGTGAATTGGACGCATGTTCCTAGAAAAGGCAATGTCGTGGCTCGTTGGAGTGCCAAGTTTAGTTATAATTGTTCAAGAGCTCAAGTTCCTTTAATTTTCCTGATGAGTTTTTAGCTTTGGCTATTAAAGATTTATCTGATTAGAACTCTACTGGGGGTATGGGTGTGGTGTGAGTTGTTTTCTCGTTTTTTTAGGGACAGGAAACTTTCTTTATTTTTTTGTTGCATGAGTTGTATAGGGTTTATCTCTTTCCCTACTTTTGTAATTCGTCCTTTGTTGAAACAAAATGGAGCCTTTTGTGCTTAAAATAAAAAATAAAAATAACACATGAAAAATATTCCTAAAATTGAATAGAACTCAATCTAGCTCAAAAATAAAAACAAACATGAAACTATTTAGGTTAATCTACCCTGAAATTCGAAATTGACTTCCTCTTCTCAATTGAGCCAAAGATTAGAAATAAATTGATTAGCTCAGCTCATTTATCTAAATACTCAGCTCTGATCACCGATCAGCCGAACCCTAAATAATAAAGACTTAAGGAAATATTAATTATGTATTAATCATTAATATCTGGTCGGCTAATGAGATAAGCAGAGAAGCTGGTGATTCAATTTGGCGCGCTTGCTTGGCCAACAAGCTGCCTACGAACAGTGACAACTTTGTTTGCGTGGGCAATGACGTCAAATTTTCTACTTGCTATATTATTTAAACGAAGAAAGCAGCTTCGCAAAGTCCAACTTAGCTACCTTTCAATCACTGCTGATTGATATGATTCTTTAATTTTCTTTTCATTGTTTTAGTATTATTTGAAAATAAAGTTAAAATGATGTAGCGTTTTATTTTATTTCATTTACGTTTTCTTATTTGTAATAGAATATGTTGATATGTTATAACATGTTTATTATTTTAAAAATATACAAAATGGCTTTTAGTATGGATTTAAGAAAATCATAGGTCTAACAAATAATGTGTTACTAACATTGGAGGAAAAGTAAGTATAATATGAATCTAAAACAAAAGATATTAATCAAACAAAAAGATTATAGATTTTATAAAAAAATAAAAAAAAAATTTGAAAATAAAGATTTAACAAACTATTGATAAAATAAAATAAAAACAACATCAAAATAACTTGAAAATATATAGAAAAAAAATTGAAATCAAAGCTTACCAGATATTAAGGACATGTTTTATCATCAAATCAAGAAAATAAAGAGTTTTTAGTGAGCAAATCGGGCCTTATGAGAGAAATGGAAATTTGGCGAGCAAAAATTACGTAAGTACAACATATGTATGGATAGATATGTATGCATGTATGTATGTATGTATGACTATGTTTTCTCATTCATGTCAAATCCTTAAGGACGGTAATTTGAAACAAGAAGCCTCGAGAGTCGTCCAAACCTTTTAAAAAAAATGCGAGGTGACATCCAGGGAGCCGTGTTGGTATTGCTTAGGCTTTGTTTGGTTCAGCTTTTTTAGTGCGGTGCGACACAGTGCCGTGAAATTCCCCGAAATCCGGTTGTTTGGTTTGGCTTCGCCCTTCGCGCATTATGCCTCGAAAGCGAGCAGCGGGGGTATATGTGCGGCCTAGCTTCGTGGCCGTGGGTTTTACCCCTGTGCCCCTTGGAATGAGCCCTAATAGAGCAATTGGATCTTCACGCGAGCTTCATCCCTCCTCCTCCTCTTCTCCGGTCGGTGACGGTTTCTCCCGATCTCGTGATCTTGTCAATGAGAGGGTAATTTCTCCTCTACCCTGTTATCCGTTCGCAGTTTTTTTTTTTTTTTTTTTTGGGTTTTTTAGATCTACTAGCATACCTTTAGTTTGTTGTATAGCTTGGATTTTTTTGGCAAGCCTTGGATGTCTTCAATAGTCACAAATATGTTTCTCTGCCTTGGAGAGCAGATAAACAACAAACAAATCTTTTTAAATTAAAAAAATTTTAGGACTTTTGCAGAGTTAAACTTTGACCATATCTTCTCATATAAATACATAATAATTTTTAAACTGTTTTAGCAAATAGGGGTAGCTTGGTCATTTCTCTAGAAAAAGCTGTCTCACAGCTGTTTTCACACAGCTGCACCAAACAGACAGTCATCTTCCTCGCTTTTGCGCCGCAGCAGCTTTCTGAGACAACACAGCTGCAGCTGAAAAGCTGATTTCAGCTGAAAAGCTGCAGCTGCTCCAAACAGACCCTAAGTTCAAGAAAGTCGAGCTATCATAATTTTATCAAGAAATTGCATTAAGATTTATAAATTGACAACACAATAAACTCATTAGCCCCATCAAACTATAACATCTCAAAAAAAAAAAAAATTCACATAATATACAAGTATTTGCGGACAATAATGATTGAGGTGAGGTGATAACTCGTCATAAATTTACCTAGATTTGATGTGACATTCACATTCAACGCACAAACTTAATATCCACTTAATTATTGATATTTTTGGAATATACACCTAACAATGATGTGATGTAATCTACACCACACATCTAACTATAATATGACATAATTTACACCGTCGTGACAACATGTGAACCATGCATAATATTTTTTACATCATGAGATAAAATTATATTCAGAAAAAAATTAGCACATCTCGATGTAAGTTATTGCATGACAATATGATTTTATGTCTCTTGTTACATACGCTCCAACGCATAACTGATTACATTCTGCAATCCCTTCCATGAACAACCTCCTTCCTCCAAGGCCATCCTTCCCATTTTTCCAAGCTCTCTCACCCTCTTCCTTCTCTCTTCCCCTTCCTCTCCTCCCTCCATCAATTTCTCCACAGCCCTCTCAACCTCCTCCCTCCTCACTTTCACTGCCTCCTCATCATCATCCCCTACGCCAAACAATCTCGGCTCTTTGACGCCAATCTCTACCCCAATTCTAAGCACAACCACAACCAATTGCGCGTTCAAAAACTGGTCATAATAATTTGGCCATGTCGCGATCACCACCCCCGCCGCCACCGCCTCCAACGTCGAATTCCACCCACAGTGTGTCACGAATCCCCCGACAGCTATATGCCCCAACAACACTGCCTGTGGAGCCCACCCTTTTATCACCATTCCCCTCCCCTCCACCCTCTTCTCGAACTCTTCCATCCACTCATCCAGTCCCAGAATCTTCTTCTCCGCTGCTTCCTTCACCACCCAAACAAACGGTCGATGTGTTGCTTCCAGCCCGTGGCCCAGCTCCACGAGCTGCGCCATTGTGTTACGAGCTATGCTTCCAAAGCTCACGAGCACCACCGACCCGGCTTTCTGCCTGTCTAGCCATTGGAAGAGGAACTTGTTGTCGACAGATGAAACACGCCCGCGCGCTGCTTTGACTGCAAGCTCTTCTTCATAGAGAGACAGCGGACCAACAGGCCACACAGGTTTTCCCGTGGCCTCCCGATACTTGTCAAAATACCATGACTCGAGCTCCACAAAGCTGTTGACGAGTACACCATCAGCAGATTCTTCTGCCACCCGGATGGATTTCATATATTTGGACCAATCTGGATCCGAGCGCATAGCCGATAAGACCTCGTGCTTGCTGATGTGAATGGGATGCGGAAGGCTCGGAATCATGATGGACCCAGTCGGCGCTGTCTCCACCGCAGCCACAAGCTCAACATAATGTTGCTTGATGAAGTGGTCAAAGAAGAGAAAGAAGCAGGATGGGCCGTGGAAGATGAAACGGGGAATGTTAAGTCTGGTGGCCACTTCAGCTGTCCAATGTTGAAGGTTGTCAGAGATGAGGCAGGAGGGCTTCGGCCATCCGTCCTGGTCGGGGACGCGGAGGTGGTCCTCGAGCGGCTCGCGGAGGTGGGATAAAGCATTCATGAAAGGGAGGAAGAGATCTGCAGAGGGGATGAGATCGGCGCTCTCACAGCCATCAGGGAGGCCGAAATCCGCAGTCGGGAAGCGGAGCTGAATGAAGCGGATGGGAAGGGTGGAGGCAACGGTTGGTTGGATGCGGGCCAAGTTGATGGGAGTAGTGGCAAAGGTGATTAGTGTGCCACGGGCTGCAAGGAGCTTAGCCAGATCGACCATGGGGATCAAGTGGCCCTGTGCCAAGAGAGGAACCAGAAGAAAGTGGAGGCGCTTTGTCTTTATTCTACAATCACCTGCTTGGCAGCTCATGGTGGGTGACGCTAAATGGATATGCTTCTGTTGCTAGTTGCTACTGGTGGGAAATTTATAGCTAAGAAGTGTGATTTTTTAAAATATTTAAATGATGGATTATGAGTCATGGACCTCTCGGCAAGTTTTCCAGAAAAAAATTAAAAAATAAAACTTTTTTTACGAGGCTTGATTAATTCATGAGTACTGTGAAAAACATGTATTAAAAAATTGTTTTTTTTCAATAAATAAATAAATAAATAAAAATTAGAAACCGACGAAACCGGCTGTCAAAAAACCGATTGTGCTTGGTCATAAACTAAACGGAAAATAGATTCAGAATTCACTCCATTTCGCGAAACATGTATTTTATTTATTTATTTATTTATTTTTGCGTCAGTTTTCCAATTGTATTGTTAATATTTTGTATTTTGTACTTATTATTTGATGAATAATAATAATAATAATAGGAAAATAATAATATATTTAACTTATTTTTAATTTTAAATAAAAATATAAACCTAAAACAAAAATTAAATTTATAAAAAAATAAATTTATTGTATTTATGTGTGCTAGAAAATTCCGAATGTAGGTTAACAGATTATTGTCTTAGAGTTGTAAGAGAACTCATCACACACACAGATGAAAGAGAAACAAGCAGTAACGGCTCCAGAAGTTTTCACTAGGAAAACCCGTAAAGGGAAAAACTATAAGGTATGGTCTAATTGTGAAAATTCATTATTGATTGATGATTACAGAAATTTTTTATCCCATAGACAAGATGTAATAACTATATATTTCATATTACAACGTTTACTAATTGTGTCTCATTGGTGGTGATCAATGATGGTTAGCAATGGTTGACGGAGGTCAACGAAGGCTGGTGGTGGTCTACGAGGGTCAGCGGTGAGCGACAACGCTTAGTAGTGGTCGACGAAAATCGGTGGTGGTCGCGCTGCTTGGTGACAGTTGATTGTTGTCTATTGAGATCGAGGACGATCGATTGTTGTTGAGGGTGGTCGACGGTGGCTGATTGTGGTCGATAGTGATTCACTATGGCCGACGGTGATGCTTAGTTAAAGTTATTCCTCAAAGCTTTAAGCTCTCTCTAAGCTTAGGGCCCATTTGGGGCAGCTTATAAGTGAGGCGGCATTTTAGAAAACGTCACCTAATTGTTTGATTTACGCATTTTTGAAAACGTTATCTGTCGCATTTGAGTATTTTATATTAAACACAGGCCGCGGGTCGACCCCCGCGGTCGACTTGCGAGCCGGGTTTTAGGATAATTTGTCTATTCGAAATGCACAAGCTGCCCCAAATAGACTCATAAGCTCCTTCTCATGAGAGATGTGGGCTCTATTTATAGTGTTATGAGTGCAATTAATACGAGAATATAAACCATTTTGATCAGATGGACCGGAGAGCTTTCTCAATCAGACAAAATTTAATGAACATTTGGATGCCTTAATGATGCCAGAATTGAGTGATATTAGGTTCATTGGATTCGTCTTGTTGGGACGCTCAATTCAATTATAAACTTGTAAAATTTAACATCTATTTGATCTTCCAAATGTGTCTGAGAATCTTCCAAAAGCGATTAAATAACTTGATACGGGCTTAATTTGACTCAGATTGGACTTACTTTGATGCCATTAGGTTCCTCTCATCGAGCTAGTCAGTTTGACTATAAGTTTGTTGAAATCAGAGTTCAGTATGACTTTTTATCAATATTTGAATGCTTCTTATTCTAAAAATTATCTCGAGATTCGTGTGAAGCATCAAAATTCGTGTTGGATGATGAAAAATTTGCTGGTGGTGTATCAAATATAAATTCTATTAATACCAAAATATAAACCAAAAATAAAAATTGAACTTTAAAATAACAAATTTATAGTGATTTTATTAATAAAAAAAACAAAAAATGAAAATTTGTTTAAAAATATTAAACTTATATTATCACTATTGTTTAAAAAAAAACTAAAAGTCTAAAATAAAAATTAAACATACAAATAATGAACTTATAGTATTTCTTTTATTAGTAAAAAATAAACCCTAAATAAAAAAATAAATTTAAATCTAATATATTTAAAGTATTACTAATCTTATTTAAAAAGTAAAAGAAAAAGTTAAAATTAGATTTAAAAATAATAAATTTATAGCATTACTATTTATTTAAAAATATAAACTGAAATTATATTTTGATGAAAATAAAATTACTGCTACTATTTTTATGATATTAAATTAAAGATTATAATTTTTTTGCTAAAATGATTACAATTATTTTAAAAAAATATAAAAAGAAATTAAATTTTAATGATGAGAATAACATGATAATTTATTACTCTACTGATGATAATCTTCTAGCACACATCCATAATTAATAATACAACTTTTGCATAGTTTTTATTTATTTATTTTAATTTCTTCTACTTTCCATGAAACTGTCGGAATTAAGAAAAAAAAAACCGGCAAAAATTGACTTTTGGAAAGCCAGTTATGTCGATTTTAAATAGATAAAGAAGTCTTAAATTGGGATCAATTTGTTTAGTAATTCCTTAACTGTACTGGATATTCTAGTTCTTTATCAGGTTATCAAATCATTCATGACTTAAGGCATGCAAAGTCATAGACCTTCCTTCAGATAATTAGGTTCTTTTAATATAATAAAGAGAACAGTATTCGCACAAGATTTATTTCTTAGAACTTTCATTTGTTCTCCTAAATATAACAAACTTTCAGCAGTTGACGGCAGCTCGGGATGGCTAAAACACGCGCCTATTGAAGCTGCTAATTAGAATGAGTGGCCATTGTGGTGTGCTTCTAGACACAACGCTTTGCTTGGCCACCAAGCTGTTAAAAGAGACTGATGATGACTTCCCTTGAGCGGGCAATGAAACTAATTTAGTAATTATTTTAATTTTTAAAATGAAGGAAAATGTTTCATAAGTGAAGTCCAACTTGGGTGCCTTTCAATCATGGTTGTATTGAAGATAACTCATCAATTTTATTTTTATTATTTTAGTATGAATTGTAACATTACATAAAAAAAAAACATTTAAATATTTAAAATATACAATCAAACAAGTAAATTAATTCCAAACTAATATCAAAATAAATTTAATTAAATAAAGCTAATATATCTTGTTGTAAACAAATACAAAATAATATGAATTTTTTCTCCTCCTTACTACTCCTGGAACTCCAACGCATAATTGATAACATCCTGCAATCCCTTCCATGAAGAACCATCTTCCTCCATGGCCATCCTCGCCATCTTTTCGAGCTCCCTCGCCCTCTCCCTCCTCTCTTCCCCTTCCTCTCCTCCCCCCATCAATTTCTCCACAGCCCTCTCAACCTCCTCACTCCTCACATTTACGACCTCCTCATAAGGATCCCCTACTCCAAACGATCTCGGCTCTTTGACCCCAACCGCCACCCCAATTTTGAGCACATCTACCACCAGCTGCTCATTCAAAAACTGGTCATAGAAGTGCGGCCATGTCGCCATCACTACTCCTGCCGCTACTGCCTCCAACGTCGAATTCCACCCGCAATGCGTCATGAATCCCCCCACCGCTACATGCCCCAACAACACTGTCTGTGGCGCCCACCCCTTTATCACAACTCCTCTCCCCTCCACCCTCATCTCGAACTCTGCCATCCACTCCTCCACTCCCGGAATCTTCCTCTCCGCTGCTTCCTTCACCACCCAAACAAACGGTCGTTGCGTTGCTTCCAGCCCATGACCCAGCTCCACGAGCTGGGCCATTGTGCTGCGAGCTATGCTTCCAAAGCTCACGAGCACCACCGAACCGGGCTTCTGCTTGTCTAGCCATTGGAAAAGGACCTTGTTGTCGACCGATGAAACACGCCCCCGCTCTGCTTTGACTTCCAGCTCTTCTTTATGGAGAGAGAGCGGACCTATAGGCCATACAGGCTTCCCCGTACTATCGTGATACTTGTCAAAGTACCAGGGCTCGAGCTCGACGAAGCTGTTGACAAGTACACCATTGGCCGATTCTTCTGCCACCCTGATGGATTCCACATATTTGGACCATCCTGGATCCGAGCGCAAAACTGATATCACGTCGCGCCTTTTGATGTGAATGGAATGCGGAAGGCCCGGAATCATGATGGATCCATTCGGCGCTGCGTCCACGGCAGCCTCAAGCTCGGCATTATGCTGCTTGATGAAGCGGTCGCAGAAGAGAAAGAGGCAAGATGGGCCGTGGAAGATGAGACGGGGAATTTTAAGACTGGTGGCAACTTCGGCTGTCCAATGTTGAAGGTTGTCAGAGATGAGGCAGGCAGGCTTCGGCCATCCGGTTGGGTCGGGGACGCGGAGGTGGTCCTCGAGCGGCTTGCGGAGGTGGGTTAAGGAATTCATGAACGGGATGAAGAGGTCTGCAGTGGGGATGAGATCGGCGCTCTCGCAGCCATCAGGGAGGCCGAAATCCGCAGCCGGGAAGGGGAGCTCAACGAAGCGGATGGGGAGGTTGGAGGCAACGGTAGGTTGGATGCGGGCCAAGTTGACCGGAGTAGTGGCAAAGGTGACTAGCATGCCACGGGCTGCAAGGAGCTTAGCCAGATCGACCATGGGGATCAAGTGGCCCTGTGCCAAGAGAGGAACCAGAAGAAAGTGGAGGCGCTTTGCGTTTAGGCTACGATCACCAGCTTGGCAGCTCATGATGGGCAACGCCAAATTGCTATGCTCTTCTGTTGCAACTGGCGGGAAATTTATAGCTTGTAGTAGCTAAAAAATGTGATTTTTCAAAATTATTTAAATGAAGGAGTATCTGAGTTGAACTCTTTGCAAATTCAGTTTCTTGGAATATCCTTTCCGTAAACATATGTTCAACAAGGGTGGGCAGAATAAATTGAAGTTTTCGACGAAGTGTGCGCGCTGGATCTTGCTTGCTTGGCCACCAAGTATTGCGGAAAATATTAAGTGCAAGTCTCGATGTCTAAGTATTTCAGACGTAATATTTTCTTCTAATATTGATTTAGTATTACAGAGCAGATTTAGCTGAAGTGGTTGATTAGTATTAGAGGCTTACAAAATGCTAACTGGGATCAATGAAGGGCTGATTAGGATAACCAAAAAAAAAAAAAACGAGATCAGGCGAGCATTCACCAAAAGGGACGGTGAAATAGGGTAGTTGGATCACATGACCTAGTGATGTAAATAATTAGAATAGGTGTTATAACCATTTGAGTGCGTGTGTCCTTAAAAATAAGTTTAGAGGTGTACAGACTATGGATCATAATGGTCGCAGTTGGTCACATATATTGTAGTGGTGAGTTGTGATAATATTTATAGGTCATACGAGATTAAGTCGAGAGCTGCACGAGCTTTGAGTGACGTAAGACATAAGTGTGTTGTGATAACGTTCGAAGAGAGTTACCATCTTCGGGGTGCGTTGTTGCATTGTCTTTATGAGGCGTTGTTGCACCGTATGTGAATTGCATTATTACACCACCATCGGGGGTATATAGTTGCATGGCGTGTTGAACGTTGTATTACTTCACCGGGTGCTTCACTGTTCTATAACGTACATTATGATTCCACTATGCATGTTATGAGTCCATAAGAGACTTCGTTGCAAGAAGCGGTTGGCGGTCGATGGTGATAGACGGTAGAGGGAGGCCAACATGATGGACGGTGGCGGGCAGGTGGTGATCGACGATGGTCGGCGGTTGCAAGAGTAGGATGAATTAGTTGGATCTTCCGTGTAGAAATGATGACTAGTTTAACCTCTTTTTTCTCTAAGTATCTTCTGACTCTAGGTCTAGGTGCCCTCTCAAGAGAGGGGTAGGACTCTAGTTATAGAGTTTGAGAAAGACATTTCTACAAATAAGTAATGAACTCGAACCACTCCATCAAACAGAAAGAAGAGATTCCCTCCATGAAACGATTTTTAAGAACATTTAAATGCTTTAATTATGTCATAATTAAGTGGTTGGATTCATCTTGCTGAGATGCTCGATTTGACTATAAGATTATCATGTGTTATATGATTGATCTTCCAATTATTCACTGAAAGCTTCTAAAAGTGGTTTAATAGTTTGATCTGAGCTTGATTTGACTTGGTTTGAACCAATTTTGTATCAAGGTGTTTGTCTCGTTGAGTCGATCAGTTTGAGTTTAAGTTTGTCAAAATCATAATTCTAGATGATTTTTAATTGAAGTTTGAATATTTTTTGTTTAATAAATTATCTTAAAATTCATGTCATGCAGCGATATTCAATTCAAATTATCAATTCGTTGATGACGAATAAAACATGCTATTTTGCATGTTATATTTAAACTTTTTCAAAAATTTCAATATTGATTGGATTTATTTCTTAACACATTTTCAAGTCTACAATTATCTTAACCACTATCATGGCGGGTGCCAATGAGGTTCTTTATTGATTGAGCTCGTCAATGGATGTTTCTATTCCCATTAAGGTCAGTTTGGCAAAAAAATTTGGCATGCCAACTTCAATGAAATTTATGTTCATTATCATTTACGAGGGTGGCTTAGCACCGAAATTGGCCCAAGATGTAAGGGCTTTGGAGTTGCGGCGGCTCCAATGACAAGGGAAAGAAGCATGCGTTGTATCATAATTACACCTTCAAATTATATTATCATTAATGAGGAGACAAAGCTACTTTAGTAAGGTTAAAGAGTTTAGCAAATTTGTGTTACACTTTGACATTGATCCTTTAAAGCCAAAGTGAGAGCTTAACACGGCGCTTATGATGTTGGCTAGATAATTTTCTCTTGATAGTTATATAAGAAGTGAAAGAAGTTATTATTAAACATTTCTTGCACAGATGATATTAAGAAATAGATTTAGTGTTGGCATATCAAGTTTTTTTGTAGCAAGAAGTTATAGATAGTATGTACAATAATGATTTCGACTAAAAGAGGGCAATTTATCTACATATTGCACAATTCCTATATATTTACATTTTTAACACATAAAGTTTAATGTTTACATTTATTACACTTTAGTATCATAAAACACTTTTGTATCATAAAACTATGCATGAAAATGTTTAATTTCTTAGCAATACCACAACAATCTCAGCAATGTTGAATTCTATTGGTCCCCTAGAGAGGAGTTCAACCATATCCTAATTGTTTTGGTATGGTTATGATATGTATCCAGAACTTTCTACCATCTGCTATATATGTCTACTGCTATGTATCGAAATGGAGGAGGAGAAAGTGCTAAAATAATTTAGTCTCTAAACTAAACTCATCATCTTCTTCTGTGATTTATGTATCAGTAATCCATTTCTACTTGAGCTCTCATAGTATCAGAGTCTTGCCTAGGAACTCTTTATACTTCATCAAGATCTCAAGCCCCATACAAATTCTTGTTCGATGCTCTCCTAAAGGCCATCCACCTTATTAATTGGTTGTCGACTCGAACCACAAACTATTTATCTCCATACGAGCATCTACATAAATCTTCGCCAAATCACACTCAGACTTGTGTTTTCGGAAGTGCTTGCTATCCTTGGAGGAAAGCTCAAACCAAACTCAAATTTAAACCACGATTAGTCCAATGCATTTTTCTATGGAACTCTTTACGACACAAGTGTTACAAATGTTACAATCCTACTACTCATAAAAGAAGGCACATGATGTTTGATGTGAACACTTTTCCTTTTCTCCAGAATATATCCTCACCATCACAAACACCCCCTCCACTTCACCTCACGTCTCATCCTACTTTCTACAACCACCAACACTCCTCCAACTGGTAGCTAAACCTGCTACCACCATCTCTCTGACCCCTTTTGTTGTCTCCAATAAACCAACACCTACTCCTATACCATCCTCGACACATCCATCTCCTCCCCAACCTCCACCCCACAATGACATGATAACAAGAACCAAAACGAGTATCCTAAAACTTTGTTTTCGTTCGTTTTTCTCTATTTTATTTTAGAAGGAGTCGTCAGCTCATCGATCGTCGTATACTTCTCTTTCCCGAATAAATCTCCCTTTCGGGTCATATAAATGGCCTGAAGAAGAGAGGAACCGGAAAAGACGGACATACAACAAAGTGACAAACAAAAGAAAATACAAAACGTGGAGAGCCTACGTGCGGTAAACCTCGCAAGGATAGGTTAATAGTGTCCGCCCAAACAAGATCGGGCGAAAGCACCTTAAACCAATATCCTTGAAAGAATGCCTACGTAAATTACCCAAAACCAGAGAGTCAGGTGTAGGTGCCTATTCTGGGGTCAAGAGCACTCCCAAGGGGACGTATCCAACTTAGTTAATTATATCTTGGGGGTACCTAAGAATACTCTCGATAAAAGGAGTTTCGCTTGGATTATCGTGAACCTGGGGCAATAGATACTCAAAAGAAGGTTATTCCGTATGGGAATAGTCCCGATTCTTCAAAGCTTCTACAAAGCTCGCGCTAAGTCATCGGGCAGAGAGTGAGTCTCCCACATCTCGAAATGGGTAGCGGCTCATAGGCACACGTGGCCCACAAAATAACCTAAATCATCTTGACGGGGATATTCCAACACGTTAAAGCACGTCTGAGCCAAAGGGCAGAGGACAAATCGTCATATTCCAAATGGGCGGCAGCTCATCGGCATCGGGTCGTTAAGGTGATATCAACGAAGCCAAGGAGCGACAAGGATCAACGCTCAAAGGGGCTCAACAAAAAGGAAGGTTGAGTGATTCTAAAAGGCCGAGTTAACTGGGTCGGGGTACTACGGACCCGTCATCCACAGCTAATAGAACCCCGATCAGCAATCTGTAAATTGTGTTGTCCACGGGAACCTCGGTAGCCCTAAGATCAAAGGAAGGAAACTCTATCCTATGACTAAAAGCTGGAGCTTCAAGAGATGGGACTTATATCTGCCGAAGTGGCAAGATTGCCTCCGAAAAGAAAAAAAAAGTGGTGGTTCAACTACAAAGATGGAAACGCTCCAAACAAAAGGACTCATACCCCCTCTGGGTCGGAGAGTCTTTTAACACCCTATGCGCACTACACAACCACCTATATAAAAATATTTTGGGCCAGTCAGGTTGAAGAAGCACGGGGACTCCTCTCCGGGACATACAAATATGAATGCAGTTATCTAGAGCAGTCCTTAAGTATTGTGGAGGCTCTATTAATATATGTAGAAAAGTAAAAGTTGTAATTTTTAAATTTTGAATATTTTCATCCTAAATTTTAATTATCTTGAATATTTTATTTATGATTTTTATGATAGAAATAATTAAAATTTTAGTGTCCTTAATGAGCCTAAATTATATTGTGAAATCTCAGATCACAGAAAAAAACAAGGAAAACAGATGCAGATGTGCATACATACAGACGTGTAACAGAAAGTAAAACAAGTCAAATAAAATAATAAACAGGTCGATGTCGCTGGGTCGGCAACATATCCCAGAAAAGAAAAAGACGGTCGGACTCCGCATATACATGCCCGATCATAATTTTATACATCAATATAAAATGTAAAATTAAGATACGGGGCACGAGCATCTGCTCCTGGTCCCCTCCACGTGGTTCCCATGCTAACGTCTCGAAACCCGTGCTCGTATCTTATTGCTACAGTACTCTCCTAGACTCTAAAAGTACATAGAGAAAAGAAAAAAAATACTAAATTCTGCATGAAAACAAGTGTTAGCGGGAAATCCCACATGCAAATGACATATCATGAGCCAT